ATCTAATGTTGCGTTATGTTTTTTAATAACGTGTTATAAAACACGAAATCTAGTGATGTTTTTTTTTAAAAAATGGGTATTTTTTTTTACTGTGTAGCTAAATCAGTTGATATATTTTTTCTGAAACCAAATTAATTAAAAAAAAAAATTATTACTTTCAAAATAATTTGATAACTGCTTGTGAACAGCAAGTCTTAATATTCTTTCATAAGTAGGAAGCTATATATATTACTAACTGGTCTTAGATCTTGTGGTAACTTTAGCGACATTAATTTTAAAATTGGAATGATTGTTGATTTTTTTCCATTTAGAAGGAACTTTCCCAGTCTTTAACGATAAGATAATAATTTTTAAAAAAATACTTGAAAATGAAGAATTCTCTGGCGATAATAACATTTAAGCATCTCGCACATTCCTGTTTTGTATTTGTTTTACTATGTCATTCAAGTCTTGCATATATATTTATTAATTTTATTTTATTTATTATTTTTTATTTATTGACTTATTTTGTTTTTCATGCTATACAATGTTCTTATATTCGAAGATATTGTTAGCTTAGCATAGGAACAGCCACAAATAGTCAATTAAGACTTATCCAAAGTAGCGTCTGTTGTTGACCAACATTTTTGCGTACCAAAGAACTACTCAAGCGCTGAGTAGGCGGTGGCAGGATTTAAACTCGTATCGTTTAACAGTCCGGGTTTTAACTTTTCGTTTAACCAACTGAGCTATCCAGCCACTTTTAAAGGAATAAATTAACAAAAACCAGCGATATTATCATTTAGTGATAAATTTTCCATAGCATTATAATTCATATCACTTTAAATTGATGTTTCAAGATCTATGATACTTTGGATTAAAAATTCATTATATTTATCTGGATTGGATTTTTTTGTTACATTTCTTTGATAATTCCTAATAAGACTTTCTTCATCAAATTTTATATCTTCTATTATATTTGATTTAAATAATGGTTTGATGGTTGTTAAATATGCCAACGAGTTCCGCATAGCTTTAGGATCATTTTTGATTGAATCAATTTTTATTTTATAGTAATCAGCTTCTAGTTTTCTTAATAGTGATGTTTTTTTATTTGTTATGTTTTTAAATTTGCTATATTGTATTTTACATTTGCTTTAACTATAGCCATTAGAATTCCTTAACCAGTTATTGTGAATAGATGGACTGTTGTTATTGATTTTATTATTCCTTTTTATAAATTTTTTCTTGTATATTTATATTATTTTAAATAACTTTTATATGGCTATTCACCATTACTTCAATCAATCAGTTTCTTCTTTTATATTAGTAAATTTAATTGAAATGCTTTTGTTTAATAGAGAATAATCAATTTTATCGAAGTTCAGTTTACTACTTTTGACAGCACTATTGATTTAGTTTCAAACCGTCTTTTTTCTACGATAGAGTATTTAAAAGTAATCATTTAATGGTCAGAAAGTTTTTCTTTTTCATTAGTTTCGATAAGAGTACAATTAGTAATTGCTAAATCAATACAATTACTAGAGTTTTCAGATATTTTTGTTGGTTTACTGTTGAAAATATCAAATTCATTATCTTTGATAGATTGCTTTACTTTTATATAGTGTTTGTCATTTGAAAGAATATTTATGTTGAAGTGACCGAGAATATACAACCACCGGCATTTATAAACATAATCATAATATATATATCACCGGTAGTTTTATGTCACTAATATAATATACAACCACCGGTATGAGCACTTGATGATTCTAAATTTATAAAAGAAAAACCAATAATTTAAAGCTCTTTTTCAAAGATTAAAGATGTTAGGTGGGTTATAGTGATGTTTTTTTATTTGTTATGTTTTTAAATTTGCTATATTGTATTTTACATTTGCTTTAACTATAGCCATTAGAATTCCTTAACCAGTTATTGTGAATAGATGGACTGTTGTTATTGATTTTATTATTCCTTTTTATAAATTTTTTCTTGTATATTTATATTATTTTAAATAACTTTTATATGGCTATTTACCATTACTTCAATCAATCAGTTTCTTCTTTTATATTAGTAAATTTAATTGAAATGCTTTTGTTTAATAGAGAATAATCAATTTTATCGAAGTTCAGTTTACTACTTTTGACAGCACTATTGATTTAGTTTCAAACCGTCTTTTTTCTACGATAGAGTATTTAAAAGTAATCATTTAATGGTCAGAAAGTTTTTCTTTTTCATTAGTTTCGATAAGAGTACAATTAGTAATTGCTAAATCAATACAATTACTAGAGTTTTCAGATATTTTTGTTGGTTTACTGTTGAAAATATCAAATTCATTATCTTTGATAGATTGCTTTACTTTTATATAGTGTTTGTCATTTGAAAGAATATTTATGTTGAAGTGACCGAGAATATACAACCACCGGCATTTATAAACATAATCATAATATATATATCACCGGTAGTTTTATGTCACTAATATAATATACAACCACCGGTATGAGCACTTGATGATTCTAAATTTATAAAAGAAAAACCAATAATTTAAAGCTCTTTTTCAAAGATTAAAGATGTTAGGTGGGTTTCAGTTAATCCAAGTATATGAGGTTTAAATTTTTTTCACATATAGTGTAACTCTGTCAAGTTTAATTATGAGACTATTTATATTTGCATATGCAACTTTGATTTATATACATTGATTGTTTTCATACTCTCCACTCTACTTTTAATGTCATTAAATACTGGACATTTTTTATCGAATGCACAATGTTGAGGATTTATCATTAAATAAAGTTTTTGTTAAGGCAATTAACATACCAATTACTTTCGTGGTTTTGACAATCTTTATTGTAATGATCACCAGTAGCAACACGAGGTAACCAATTTTATAAAATTTTAAAAACTACCAGTAACTCTAACTAAAGTAACACAAAATAAACACAAATCGCAAAAAACTAGTTCTAAAGAAGTTAAACTTGAAGAACACCATCCATAATGAGAAATCAAAAGTGAGGAATTTTTTTTTAAGCGCAAAAAGTAAACTTATGCGTATAAAATTGCGTTGATAATATTTCAAAAAACCACTCGGTGTTTTAAAATACAAAATGAAAATATAGTTTCGTTTTCAACCAATTTTAAGATTTTTTGTTGAGTTGTTATATGAAAACCCATCTTGCCCCATTCGCCATGTTGCCCCGCTTTCCCTATATCAGAAACTAATAAAAAAAAAAACTTTCAGTGTAAACAGGCTTTAAAAATCGCTGACCAATTTGTCAAAAACGAACTTATATCGTATTTAATTAAAATATAGCAGTTGTTAGAAAATGCGCATTTGACCGCAAGCCACGCTAGAATTAAATAGTTTTATGTAGAAAATATTAGTTTGGATTTATAAACTGAAATTTTTTATAAAAAATACTTTTATTGTAACATAAAAATTTCCCACCCCCTCCTTTTATTAACCCCCCTCCCTCCCTTGTATTAAGGACTCCAGAGTACTTCTAAAACTAGGAAATTAAGGCAATTTTTTTAGCGAATGTAATTAATTTGAGCATGCTCATATTGCACAAAAATGGCATCTTTAGATAAAGTCAAAACTAAATGTTTTTATGCATTGTTTTTCAAACAAAAATGAATTTGATTATTAGGTAATCTATTTTTCTTTATGAAAAAATTAATTTTATTATTTTAAAGCCAAAATTTTGCGCCACAGATTTATGCGTGGTGATATTATTTTAACAAAGCAAAAAATTTAACAGCATTTCAATTAGATGATACCCGCAAATTACTGCATATAAATTTACGCTAATTATATTGATTCCTGCTATAGCCACATAAAGTCGAATCAAAAAGTACAAAGCTTAACTTCACTGACATCTAAGAAATGCTCATATTACTAAAGTATTATATTAGAAAGTATGCTCATATTACCCTAATCTACTCTAACTTTTATTTGAACTTTCTTTAATAAAATATCAAGTAAAAAACGTAAACCTAAATAAAACAGGCCGAAAACGTTGAAATACGTACAAAATAAATCTAAAATTTATCTTTACACAAATATAAAAAAATGTTAGTGAACGACTTGTTATTAATTTCAGTATAGATTCAAAAAGAAATTTTACGGCTGTTGTTTAGACTCTAAGCGGTTAAACTACCCTAAAATAAGAGTAACCTACTAGCTTATTCTAGGAAAAAAATTTTGGTGGCGGTACCCACTCGTTCCGGCGAACTTTAGCGGAAAATCGACATTTTTTCCGCGAAAAAAACAATATTTGCCGTAAAAAAAAAAAAAAAAAAACGAAAAAAAAAGAATGTCCTCAAATTTTAATTTGGGCGGCGCCCAAATACGGTCGACGCTATCGGGAACTATCGGATATATATATATATATATCCAAAATTTCACTTTAAAACTTTAATTTTAAAATGAATAATTAATCGATGCTAAACACCTTTTTTTTATTTAATCAATTTTTAATTTCATATACTTTCCTAAATGATATATTTATATAATACATAATTAGAACAACATTCTCTATCAAAAAAAAAAAAAAAAAAAAAAATTACATTAAAAAGTAAAAAGAGATTATCATGGTATGTATATTCTTTCTAAATAAACCTGTTTCTCCTTAAAAAAAAAAAAAATTCAATTATCTCAACCAAACTTCATGCCAAAAATAAAAATATTTCATAAGAAATTAAACAATGGTATCTTGTACATTAAGCCTCAAATATTTATGGCATTTGAAAAACTATAAAGGACAGATAAAACCCGATATTTATAAAAAAAAAACTCTTTAATATCTATGGATATACTAAGTTGCCTACACTAGTTTATGTGAATATGGATTAGTGTTTACCCAAATAATTACCAAAAAATTATGTAAGAATTTCTGCAAAACTCTTCATAAATATATTTTTATCTAGAGAAAGTGATTTTTTTTAGAGCATTTTCTGAAGAAATTCTAACAGAATTTCTTCACTATATAGATGGGTCATATTTTTAAAAGTGAAAAGAAAACTTTTAGTCCTGAGTAAAACTTATAGAATGAATGTTACACTTTTGATAGCCCAGTTGTTTTTGGGGTATTATCAACAGGATTCTTTGCATATAGTAGAGTCGCAAAAGAAACTATTCCTATAGCAACAATTGTCATAAAGTTAACAGGAATTCCAAATATAATCCAACTTAAAATTGCAGTAAACATCAACTCCAAGGCACTAGCAAATGTTTTCAAGATTGAATTTAATGATTTTAAAAACATAGCAGTGACTATACCGATTGCTCCATTGTTCAAAACAACAGTTAAAACTATCGGATGTAAAACAGAATCAATGTTTTTCTTCAAAAATACATTATAAATCTCACCACTATAGCTTAACAATAAAACGTTACATATGACTGAGTCAGTATACATAAACACATTCTGAAGCATAAATGGTGCCGAATCTCCTTTGTCTTTAAGTAGATATTCGTTATAGACACCAGCAAAACAAGAACAAAATATCTGAAGAAGTATCATCAGCAAACTCATGTTTAATGTAAAACTAATTTTCGGCAAACCGGTTTCTTTACTTAAATGTAGATGTTTAATAATGCAGCCAACGGTCAAAAGAATTAAAGAAAACCATTGAGTTCTACTCAGCTTCTTGTTAAATAAGAACTAAGAAATAAGTGAAACATTATAAGAAACAGCTAAAAATAGATCATAAATTACAGTTTTTAACGCTTACCTGAAAGATTACTCCTGTTATCACAACTCGAAATTGCAACAACAAAAAATATGTAGTCGGATCGTAAGAACGAAGGTTTGTAAATGCCAAATTATTGTACAAGCAATATAGGAAAGCAGGGATCATGTACAACAGCAAGACTAAAAATTTAAAAGTTAAAAACAAATGGGATAAAAAGTTAAGCAAATACCGTTAAAAGCGCTACAAGTTTATAATTTTTTAATACAAAAAAATAATGATCTTAACCTTCAACAATAGACAATACACCCAAATACCAACAAACTTATTAAAGTTTTTAAAATTCCCATAACCCTTCTATTGTCAAATTTAATTGACAATTGAAGGCTCATGAAAGATTTAAAATATGACAACAGTAGTACAGGGGCAAATAAGAAATTTGTAGAGGTAGAGAATGGAATCAGGAGTGAGAAAATGGAGAGCATGATAAAGAGAAGCAACCTTAGCAGATACTAACTTTGAATTCAAAATCTTAATGCTTAATTGGTTTAAATTTATTAACTGGTTTTTGTAAATGTCTGACATAATTGTTATTAAAAATAACTAAATATTATTATTAGTAGTTGTTAATAACTAAATGTTTTTGAAAAAATAACAACTTTAAAAAAGACCTATTACTGTCTCGTTGTTTTCTATAAATTGCAAACTAATCGATAGAAAAGTTAGTTTCCTGAGATAAAAACCCTTGTTTGTCAGCATAAAAGGATGTATGCTTGGGAGAGGGGGATAGTTTTCCTCAATGCAAACACATCCCACTTCTTAAAGCACTGTCCCTTAGAAAAAAAGACTTCATTTCATAATATATTTATAATATATTTCAAGAACCCCATTTAGAAACCACAATGAGCACATAAACAAAATAAAATAAAAATCATTTTTATGACCGAAACAAACAAAAAAGAATTATTATTAACAAAAATAGCTTTATTTTATTATTATGTCATTAACAAGGACAAAACTGCAGGGAGAAGTAGTTTCTATTTACAGACTTACATTTTTTGAAACTGACATTACATTTACAGGATCACTTCTGATCAAAAGGTGTTGCTACTTATTTTTTTTTTTTAATTCTAATTCACTTTCAACAAGTCTACAAGCAACCACTATTAAGTTGGGATTTACTAGAAAACAAAGAATAGAGATAAAGAGCAAGGAAATGATTGACAGAAAACTTGAAAAGTTATATATGTTGTATGAGTCAAGAAAACATGAAGATAGGAAAGAGTTCCAAAGGCTTGAGGAGCCAAAAAAAAAACTAGAAGAAGAAGAGTTTTAAAAGCATGCAGGGACAGATTCAGTTAAAAAAGTTTTTAGAGCATGCAGAGACAGATTCAAAGGATGAGATGAAGAATAAAGCAAGGATAAGTTTTGGTTAATGGAACTAGAGATGATAACTCCTTTGAGCAGCAACCATGATAGTAATTGTAGAAAAGGAAAGGAAATGCAACTTTACAACAAAGGAGAAATGCCTAAGCTTGGTAGATAACACAGGTTCAACCACATTTAAAATGCGTTTGACGACCTCATCTAAAAGAGAAAGAGCGCCATTAGAAAAACCAGCCCAAATATGACAACAGTATTCCATACAGGGGCGAATAAGAGATTTGTAGAGGTAGAGAATGGAATTAGGAATAATTAGGAATAAGAAAATGGTGAGTAAGATAAAGAGAAGCAACCTTGGCAGATGCTAATTTTATAATCAATCGCATATATGGTTTCCATAAGGGATTAGGAGCCAACCATAATCCAAGAAAACATAAAGAAGAGGACTTAAAGGGTTGCTATTCATTAATATGGAAATGTGGATAGTGTTATATAAGTTATTAGCATTAAATAACTGATTTTTGTTAGAGTTAAAATTCACAAGTTATTGCAAGCCCCAATCTGTTACAGAAGCGAGATCAGATTCAGGATAAGCTGTCTGTTCTTAGCGATCAAAAAGAGAAGACATTTTGTAATGACAGGAGTAAAAAGTTGAGTCGTCAAGAAATAGAGCCTCTTTAGATGTAAGGTTGTCAGGAAGATCATCTATATAGATAAAAAACAAAACAGTACTAGAGTTGCAACTCAAAAAAAAAAAAGCATTTTTTTTGCAAAAAAATAAAGCTCTCCTAAAATTACATTTTTTATGTTTTTTTTTTGTAGTATTCTTTAGATTTAAAATACTAATGAATAAAACAGTTACAGTGGCATTAAACCTTCAAATGTTTTTTATTTAATATAATGCATATTACCCTTTATATTAGCTATAACAATTTAGTCACCTATTTAAAAAAAACAAACAAAATATAAATAAAATTTTGTTTTTAAAAGAAATTGTTTAAGTAAACTTATTATTTAATCATACTAATGCATTGAATTTTAAACATAGCTGATTTTGAGAGTTTAATTTTGTTAGTTTGTAGCAGATATTTTTGAACATAGATGGTAATGGAGTTATCTACTATAGCACTTATATGCGCACTTGCTCACTTTTTTTACTCATCTAAATTGATATAGGTTTTTTAGAAAATGAATATAGAAAACAAAAATGGCACTCAAATGGCCAAGCACATTTTAAATTGTATGAAATGTAGTGACCAAATAAAAAATAAATACTTAAATGAAGTTTCCATAAAACAAAAAAAAGTTCAAACTGGTTTAATAATAAAAGTTAATTAAAATTTAATAAAAAATAAATAAAATAAAATAATAATAACAACACGCTTGCAATCTGCAACATTACAAACTCCAATTGAGTCAATCTTTCATACTTTAAATTCCTGTGGAAGGCAAAGTCTACAACCTCAAGGAATGAAAACTGTGAACAGAATAAGAATGAATTGGAATGGACTCCCTTAAAACAACTACATTCTTCAACAAAAGTTTTATTTATACCTCAGAAAAATTAAATTACAACCAATATTTTTTCTTTTGAAAAGTGAAATTACAATTTATATTTCAGCTCTATATAAAATTCATTCTTCAAACTTTTAATGTTGTAACAGTTGAAAAATAGCTTTCAGGTTTTTCAAATGCTAAATTATTATAAATATTAATTGCCTAGCCATAATGAAGTACATGAGCAAACACTAAAATAAAGTAACTTAAAATCAAATTAAAATCATGATGTAAAACTTTATAGGATGAATCACAAATGATTTAGCATAGGATGTACTGGATGTTTAATGAGACTTTTTGAAAATAAGTTGGCGCACTTATATATGTTGTTTGATTACTTGCTTGAAAGGGTTTATGATGAAATCTCAACAACCATTAAAGAACTTGTCATAACTGCTTCCAGTGTAGCAGTTTTATGTGATGGTTGAAGCAATATCAGGTAAGAAAAATGTAGTTTAAATTTATAAAATGGTTTTATATAAATTCTGATTTGTGCCCTAGTTATTCATAATTTTAAACTCTATATAACCATGTGTATAATTTAGAATTTGTATGTGTGCAAATTTTAATTTGAATGGAAAACAATTGTAAAAAAAAACAACACTTAAACAACTTCCAAATATAATCCAACTTAAAATTGCAGTAAACATCAACTCCAAGGCACTAGCAAATGTTTTCAAGATTGAATTTAATGATTTTAAAAACATAGCAGTGACTATACCGATTGCTCCATTGTTCAAAACAACAGTGAAAGGGTTTATGATGAAATCTCAACAACCATTAAAGAACTTGTCATAACTGAAGAGTGAAGTTGGATCTATGAAAGTTTTGGGTATATCTACTGACAATACAACCAATATGAAAAGAGCGTGGAATCTAAATGTTCACGATTTTCCTTACATATACCCTTATGGATTCCTGGCCCATACACTAAATTTGATTTTCACTGATGCAAGTAACCTTAAATCAATTGCAGCTTTTTAACAAGATTGCACAATGGTGGTAAAACCAATAAAGAAGTCACAAATTATATCAACTTTTATAAACAACACCAGCAAAATTAGGCCAAGCCTAATTTTGCCAAACAAACAGTAAAAACAATAAAACTTCCAGTTAAAACTAGGTTTGTTAAAAACTCAATTATATCTAATTGCTATTACACTATTTATCAAACTGAATCATATTTAGTATGCAAGTTTAGTATGTAAGCCTTAAAATTAGACAGCTAAGTTTTTAGTTTCAATATTTTGTTCCTTTAGATGGGGTTCAATTGTCTACTGTATGGAAAGTCTTGACAACAACAGGACAACAGGTTAGAACTGTGGGGATTAGCTATAGATAATAAAGCTAAATCACTTGCTAAGTCTATTCAAAATTTAGTGTTGTCAGAAGTTCTTGGGATAAAGTGTGTTTAAGTTATTAAAACCAATAGCCACAGCAATAGCGTGTGATTTTTTATTTTTGTTTGTTTTTACAATTAGAAGCCAAAACTTATAATTACATAAGTATACCCTAAGCCAAGCATGTGTACTATCCTTTGAGTAATTTTTATTTACTTTAGGCTTGGTTTAAGTTCATTAGGTTCATTTATCTATGCACAACATGGTAATGTTAATATACAATAAGTCTTTGATTTGGAGGCCTTCTACAAGACAGTAGCTGAATGCAGTTGATACCTGCCCGTGATGACACACATCCCTAGCCTTTACTTAACCTAAAGAGCCCCAAGGCCTGGGAATTTAAGGTGGTTGCAGTTACAATCTACCCAAGATAAGTATTTTTATTAGGACGCCATCTCTAGCCTTTACTCAACAAAGAGCCTGAGGGAATTTGAAGTCAGAGTTTATTCTTCCTAACATTTGCCCAAAAAAAGAGAAAATACTTTAAGGCAGCAGGACATGGGGCAGGTAGATAAGTATTTTTATTTTACTGTATCTGGCTTCATGAAGCATGAAGCCAGATACAGTAAAAGAATGCAACTTTAGAGAAGTCAGAGTGTTTTCTAGAGTTTTTAAATATCTGAACCACTTATTAATAGTTTAAGAGAGTTCCTTGGCTATTTTTTTATCAAACCTGAAAGCTATTTTTCAACTGTTACAACATTAAAAGTTTGAAGAATGAATTTTATATAGAGCTGAAATATAAATTGTAATTTCACTTTTCAAATGCTAAATGTAAATGTATCTTTTTGTATTTATGGTGTTAATACCTTGTCATTTATGGTGTCAATACCTAAAATGTGGTTTCATATTTAAAAATGGAAATTTTATTTTGATGACTTAGGCAAAAAAATCATAGTTAAGAAAAAAGTTTATAATAAATAATTATGTCAGTTTATCATCAAAATTTGATATTTTGTCACTTATCTATCATGCTAAAACTTTCATTTTATGACCATAATATTAAGTTCTTAACTTAATTCAATAGATACTATAAAAATAATTCAAAAATAAAACATCTTTTAATATTTATTACGAATTACAAAAATAATTTGATGTCAACTGAATTCAATTTTTTCATTATTAAAAACTTTTACAAACTTTTTTTTTTTTTCCAACTTTCAAATTTAAATTTTTTTGTAAAAAGGAAACAATAAAAACAAATTTTTGATGATTGAATTTCTTCAACATTTTGAGTGCTGCAGCAAGTAAAATTACCATTAAATAAAATTATTAGTTTTTCTATAATCGTTGTTTGTTAAGAATTATACTAATAAGTATCATTTAATAACAATAAATAAATTTATTGTTTTAATCTTTTTAACAATTTGAAAAGTTAAGTCAATACTTTTTAACCTTTTTAACAATTTGAAAAGTAAAGTCAATACTTTTTAACCTTTTTAACAATTTGAAAAGTAAAGTCAATACTTTTTAACCTTTTTAACAATTTGAAAAGTAAAGTCAATACTTTTTAACCTTTTTAACAATTTGAAAAGTAAAGTCAATACTTTTTAACCTTTTTAACAATTTGAAAAGTAAAGTCAATACTTTTTAACCTTTTTAACAATTTGAAAAGTAAAGTCAATACTTTTTAACCTTTTTAACAATTTGAAAAGTAAAGTCAATACTTTTTAACCTTTTTAACAATTTGAAAAGTAAAGTCAATACTTTTTAACCTTTTTAACAATTTTTTTTCAAAATGATTTTTTTGCCTATGGCATGAAAGTAAATTTTCCAATTTTAACTTTTGTTTTGAATATTAAACTGTTAATTTATTCAATAGTTTTAGAAAAATGAAAGTTTTTTTAAATAGTCAAATGTTTAGCAATCATTAAACAAAATTTTGATGTCAAATTTTTAATATTTGCTCCTAATTAATATTTAAATTGCTTGTTAACTTAAAAACAAATGTGAAAATGCTTTTAATTACTTCTGCCGGCAGTAGGCAGAAATTCAGCCTCCAATTTTTTGGAGGCAAAATATATTGCCTCCAAAAAAAACTTTGGCTGCAACTACCAATAAAAAGGTGAAACCTATGGGGGCAGAAGCCAGAACTTTTTGTGGCTAAAAAATTATTGGGGGGCTGCTCCCAATTGCTGTGGAAAAAAAGCGAAGGCAAGAAGATTTATGCTGTTTATTAACCCTGAGACAGAAATTATAATCATCTAGTGAAGAGTAGACTAAAGGGAGAATAAAATTTTAATCTTCATTTCCTGCAGACACAAGGATCAAAATGATACATTTGATATCATTTTGATCCAAGAATTTAAAAAAATTTACAAGAATTTAAAAAATATTAATACTAAAAATAAAAATTAAATTAGAACTAAAAATTAAAAGTACATTAAAACTAAAAAGTAAATTAAAACTAAAAATAATATCAATACTAAAATTAAAACTTACCATTTGAATGTTTTACTATGTCTCGAAAAAGTGATTGTACACCAACACTAAATGAATTGAAAATATAAGCTTTTTAAAGAAATATCAAGGTAGCAGTGCAGTGGTAAAGTGCTCAATCCCCAACCCGTCCCTGATAGTAAAGCTTTCAACTTGTAGTTAGTATTACATCTCTTAACTGTTCAGTGGCTTTATTTATTAAGTTTAATGTTTTGGAGCTACAGTGTCAAGAGAGGTAAAAAATAAATAAATAAATAAAAGCAATGTTGGCTGTTGTCTCCCTTAATTTATTTCATTAGTTCTTGACAACAAAACTAAAAAAAACTTTAACTAAAACTAGACCCGCAAACCGCTGCGGTTAGCCGCTAGCCGTCACCAAGCACTGCTTTATTTTTAGCCAGCTGTGAAAAATGTCTTCGCCAGCCATGAAATTAAGTAACCAAAGCCAGCCCTTACAGTCATAGTTAATTGATTTTAATCTTTAAATTAGTTTATGTCCGATTTTAGGCATATAATTTTATCATATCGCCTACCAATTGTTTTGTAATAAAGTATTTGGTTTAACCATGGAATTCTATGCTGCAAATTAGTCTTGAGTTAAAATACAGTAAGTCTTATGTTCGAATACTTTAGTTTCGCGCTATAAAAAGTCTCTTGCAGTCCGAAAACAGAAGTCATCGTTTACCATAAAAAAAAGAAAAGTGGTCATCTGCGCAATTGACATTTTAAAACGAAAAGAAATAATCATTCTAAAGGTCAGAATTATTATTATTGTATATATATACATATATATATATATATATATATATATATATATATATATATATATATATATATATATATATATATATATATATATATATATATATATATATATATATATATAAATATATATATATATATATATATATATATATATATATATATATATATATATATATATATATATATATATATATATATATATATATATATTTATATACTAGGTCTTGAACGAATAAATAAATTTGTTTCCATTGAGAGAAAAACTGGTACAACTTGCTTGCTCAAGGATCTGAGATGGATTCCTGTGTCTAACCACAAATCTAGGGCTACTACATTTAAAGCGTGGGACTTCATGGGACAAATTATCTTGAAAGATTCAAAAAACCAAATTAATCAAAATTTTTTATTAAGTAATCAATTGTACTGTAGATACTGTTTCGAAGAACAATCACATGTGGATGAAGGTCGTTTATCAAAGGTTTATGCTACTTCAACTACGACATCCTCTGGTAATCATCTAAACCATGCTGTTTTTAAACATGGAAAGACTTTTGAGCAACCAGTTAACTCTAAAATTACTAATTGGATCCATACTGTACAACATAATAAACCAGCACAAAGTCAATTTGAATTCAACAAAGATCTTTGTCTGTTAATATGTTCAAATCTTGAGACATTCACCTTAGTTGAAAGATTAAAATTTTTAATTTTAATCTTTCAACTGGGTTTAAAATTTTTTGTTTGAAAAATACAGCGTTTCAGCCTCCATCATCTGACTGTATATCTGAATCTGCCCTACAAAATGTTTATACTTCTGTTAAACAAAAAGTCTTAGAAGTTTTACAATCATGTGTAAGTGGAACTTTGATGATGGATGGTTGGACTGACAAGCATAATCGTTTACCTTATTTTGGAATTCGTTTAAGTGTTGTGCATGATTGGAGATTTAAAATTTTTACATTGGCTGTTCAGCCAGTGGAGTCGCACACTTCTGAGCAACTTTATCGATTTGTTAAAACTGTTTTAAAAGAATTTTTACCTAAAGATAAGCATTTTTTATTATTTAACACAACTGATGGTGCAGCTAATATGAAAAAATTATCAAAGCTATTAGGCCATGAACGAGTAAATTGCATCGCACATGGAATTCATCTGCTTTTAACCTCAGATAGCTTAAAAAAATTCCAGAATTAACTTTACTGGTAAGCAAATGCAAATAAGTAATAAAAGCTTTACATTTTAAGGGATATATGCTATCAAATGAAATTGAAACTGCGAAAGATGAGGAGTTGTTCAAAAGAATTACAACTCATGTTGACCAGCTAATAGCTGATGAAGAGAATCCAATTATGGATTTTGAAATTGAAACTGAAAATGTAAGTATTCTTCTACAAACACAGCTAACTAAACCTGTTAGTCAGGCAGATGAAGAGTATTCACTTCTGGATTTTGACATAAAAACTAAAAATGAAAAAATTTATCTAAAAACAAAGTTACGTAAATGTCATGAGCACAGTTCTTTAAAAAATAGTGTCCCAACAAGATGGAATAGCAATGAGAATAGCAATGGGTTGCAAGCTGAAATAAATCTTTATCTTACCATTTGTGACAATCAATCACCAGCCTTGCAGTTTTGGAAAAATAATGCAGAAAAATTCCCTATTCTAGCATCCATAGCCAGGGTAAAAGTATTTTTATTTTTGACATTAAACTAATACTAGTGACAAAAATAACAACAACTAAAATATACGTTAAGATAAAATTATAGTCGAATCTAATTTTTTTAAATATATTTATATTCGTTGTAATTTTTTTGAAAAAAAAAAGTTGTTTAGCATTGTAAACATTAATTTTTTTTCTGAGAAGTTTAATGCTGCTTATTTTACATAGTTTCTATTGTTGCAGGTTTATCTTGCATTGAGCATCGGATAAGATCCTCATCGAAAGAGATCCTCCTTGGCACCATATAGAATGAATGCGGTTTGTTTTATACATGATAACTATCCAAATGCTGGTCTATAAGCTAAGACTTGCATTTTTTGGATAAGGAAAATATTAATGTTTTTATTTCATTTTGATTACCTTTGTATTTCATATATGAATATTTATTATATGCAATGGTTTGGTTATAATAGTGCTGTCAGTATTATACTTGTATATATGTCATTATCATACTACACATATATATATATATATATATATATATATATATATATATATATATATATATATATATATATATATATATATATATATATATATATATATATATATATATATATATATATATATATAATAGCCAGCTAAGCAGCCAAAGAAATAAGTCGGCTAGCCAGCCACAAAAATGTAGGCTAGCCGCTCATGCCATCAGCTAGCCGGACGGAAATTCTACTAGCCAGCCATGAAAGCGAAATTCTGTGGCTAGGAGGTCTAACTAAAACTGTGTGTAATAAAAAATACATACTCTTTAATGTGTAAACCACATGATACAAAAAACTTCAGAAATTCTGACAGTAAAACAAGAGTTGTTGGATTGTATGGATAATTATTTTCATTATCTTTAGTTGCA